TGTATACTTATTTTTCTTGCACAAACTCAACTTAGTTGTAAAAAAACTTGAAATGTAAAAAACTAAAATAACATAAGTATCTCAACCATGGCACATACGCAACAATTATCCCCCTATTTTTTAATATTTTTAAAATTTTTAGCTTTTTAAAAAATCTTTTCGTTAGTTAAAGTGTATAACATTGTTAGATTTGTTTGTATACATTCTTTATAAAACTTTACAAGTATTTTAAAAATTTTTTTAAATTAAAAAAAAAAAATTCACCGCTGGTTGGATTCGAACCACGACCTTCTTGTTAAGATGCTCAGCGCACTTACCATTTGGCCCTGCTGGCACGTTGGTTGTTAAAACTATATAAAATTTGTTATTAACAGAAATAAATGCTGTAGATAAAAAATTTAAAAAGAGGTTTACGCAATCCAGTTTTTAAGTGAAAGTCGAACTGTAAAACTTGATATATGTTGAACCATGTTTTAACATTACATAACACGAAGTTTACGTACGTACGATATAAGTTTCACGTTTGCTCACATTTTCTTATAAAGCAAAGGTGAGACGCTTTCTTGCCAAAACCTTGGTTGCAATGGCTGCCTAGGGTTTTGTGTTAAATACGGTCCAAGCAACACAACATTCTACTATTAAAACTATTAATAAAACTATTAAGTTTGGCAGTAATACATGGAGATTGTTAGAGTGCCCACTTATAGCACTATAAATAAGTGTATATAAGATTACTTTCTGATAGTATAACTAAGCATTTAAGAAAAAACAAGTTATTAGCAACAACAAAAAAAAACAGCATGATTTTTTTGAAATATAAAAGCAATATCACAAATTCACTGTTAAATGGTATTCCAATTAATGCTTTGTATACTGACTTTTGAATAATGTGTGACAATGTATCATGCTTAAAAGAAAAAAAGAAAAAGAATACTTCAAATTATGGCATCACATTAGAATTTTAAACAATATAGCTATAAATCAGTTAAACAGTAGGATCAGTTTAAAAACGATAGCCAAGATTTCCAACAATAACGAATTGTCATGGAAATAACACAAGCAAAAGCAAATTGAAAATACTGGAATCTTGGTTGGTCTAGGATTCGGTAGGTAGTGTATGTTTTGATACTATATCATCGAATACAGATGAGGAATGTTTGTGTACTCAATAGTAATAGAATAATATTAGGCCTAAATACTTATGCATTGCTAAAAAAAGTGAATGAGCAGATCTTTACTATGGATTACTTGCCGGTATCAGCATAGTGTATGTTTTGATATCTATATCATCGATATCAGCACTATATTCAGAACTTCACTCTGCTCATAAATAATTTTCTTCTTTTATTAATATAACTTAGTCATTTTCTAACATGCTGCACTTGCAGTTTCTGGGAAAATGTTCAATTGAACAATTGATAATCTTTTCTAAATGTTTCTGGTAAAATTATTGAGCTAAATTATTAAATTTGAACAAGCTTAACAAATTTGAATGGAACTAGTGAAGGAAACATTTTTATAAGAAGAAAAAAGGATTTGCATATTACTGTTTTGTACAGTTTTGTAAAAACTGTAAATACAAATTTTAAATTACATTTTGAAGGCTTTTAGAAACCAAAATCTATCTTGAATGTGTTTACATAAAATCCTCTATTAGTTTTCTTTAAGTGTTAAGCGAAACTTGTTTTGTTTTTAACAGTGATAAGCTACCAAGTTTCATAAATCTCTTGTTTTCCATTATGCAGTGTTTCTGTAAAGTTAGTTTAAAGTTAATAATTAAGTAAAAAAAGGTTAACAAAAGTTTTTATATACTTAGTGAAGAAGAAAAAGCAATAGTTCATCAAGTTGATGAATTTACTATTTCATGCAAGATGGTTCCTTCAAACACCATTGGTAGCTTCTCTTCCTGGTTTGGATTTGTGTGTGGGCATAGTATAATAAAATTACTACTTGGTGCAGTTAAAAAATTTAATTTCTCAAAATGTTGAAAACTATGAAGTTGAATTTCAATCTTGAAATTGAAACATTGAAATAATGAAAATGTTGAAATTATGAAAATTATGAGAAAGTAATGAAACACTAAACAACTAGCACAAGAACTAGAACAACTAGCACAAACACTAGCTTCCAAAAAACTGTTTTTGTATCTTAAACCTTCAAGTTTACCTTAAAAATTTTTTTTCCAAACATGAACATAACAAAAATCCCAGAAAGTTTTCATTCAGCAGCTTAATCTATCTGTAATAGAAACAAAATGCATACAAGTTAGCTTAAGGTATATTATTTTCTTTTAATTTATTGAGTGTATTGTATAGATTAATCTATTTTATTTATTTTTTTTCATTAAAAAAAAGTTTAAATAAATGCCAATATTTATTTTAGAGATCGAAATAATTCCACTAGATATCAAGTCCTTTATTAATTAAGATATAAAGTCCTAGATTAGCTGTTGTTAATGATTGTGGTGAGAGAGATATAAAACTCATCTAAAACTAAACAGACATGTGCCAGGATAAACAGTTCAAAAAATGTTAGATGTATTCTATTTCATGGTGTAAGAAGATATGTTATCAAAAATCCATTTACATGTTTTATGTGGTTGATAAATTATTTATGTAATTTGATACAAGTTATGTTAAATTCAAACTGTTACAAGTTTATGTTCATAATGTTATTTTATTTCTGATTTTAAAGTTAAATATTATGTAAGAAATAGTAATTTTTTTTCTTTTTGAAAACTAGATTAAGTTTGAAAATACCTAATAGTCTTTTATTTGCTATTTCACATAATATTTCTTTCCTTATGCATAAAATGTACTTGCTATTTACAAATAGAGGAAATACAGATAAAATAAAAAATATTTAGCAGATAATATAGAAATATTTAGCAGATAAAATATAAAATATTTAGCAGATATAAAAATATTTAGTTAAAATTTTAGCTTAGATTTTTTAAATAAATTTAGGAAAAAATATTTGTTGATTGTTTTAATATGGTGTTAAACAAAATTAAAAAAATTGAAATATAAATATAAAGTTTTTAGCTCTGATGTAACTACAGCTTTCATATCTCATTCAGATATAACTACAACTCTCATACCTGTTTCATATAAAATACAGCTCTCATATCTGGTTTAGATATAACTACAGCTTTTTATATCTGGTCCAGATACTGGTACTACATCAATAACTATGTAGTTATAAGTTCTTATTTGTTCTTAGTTTTTACTGCTTAAACAAAGTTTAATAATAAAGTATTTGTTTTCTAATTTTTAAATTAAAAAAAGAAGTTAATAAATCAAACTTAAAAATAGTTTAACTAATCGAGCGCATCAACTTAACTCTTAAGTGCTCATTAACCTTTTTTTTAACTTAGCAACATTTGAAATGATTTATTCATTAGTTATCTTAAAAAAAATAAAACAAAAAAACTCTTAAAGTTGAACTCAATATTTTGAACCAGATGGGTAAAAACCAGATGGGTAATTTTTGTGAAAAAAGATCTGGTGTACAGAAAAAAACAATCATTTTTGACAATGATTAAATTAAAAAAATTAATGTATGAAATGTTTGAACGCCCCTATTTTTTGTAGGCATACTACACCATAGATACTACCATATTATAGAGACCATATTTTGTAGGCATACCATACCATAGATAGTAGATCTTATCTTAGATATTATAAATAGTCAGGGGCTATTCTAGAAAAATAATTTGCCAGCGCCTGTTGCAAGGAAATATGGCAGAAGCATTGCCAAATGTTTCCACCAAATTTCTATTTTTAAAGGCATTTTTTGGCAAAAAAAAATATATTTGCTGTGTATAAAAAAATTTTCTCAATTTCTGAATTTGGGCAGTGCGCCTAAATATGTTCAACGCTATTGAAAAGAGTCTAGAATAGCCCCTGATAGCAGACCATATTATAGATAGCATAGATAGTTGACCATATCATAGATAGCATAGATAGTTGACCATATCATAGATAGTAGACTAGTGATTGAATACTCAGCTCACAATCAAGAGTATTAAGAATTATATTCCTTTGTCTCAGGAAGTATCTCAGGAAGCATTCTCCACGTAGTGGCAAGGTTCATATTTTAGAGTTTCAACTGTAGTTGCCCCACTTGTTCACTAGGCTCCCTCTGACTACTTTTATTTACTACATTTGGTTCCTTTTGACTATTATCTTCTTTTTTTTTTTAACTAATTCATTTCTTACAAGAATGCAAGCAATCACTAATTAACCACTAATTAACTGAAAACTGTGAAAATTGTAAGTAGTATTGTAATTGTAAATTGTAGTAATTTAGATTTTTCTCCTATTTTTATAAATGGGAGAAAATTTTAAAACACTGTTTGGAGTTCTAAAGCAGCTGTTGGCAAGTAAAAACTTGGTGAATAAAACTTGTTTGAGAAAGAAAAAAAAAAGATGCAAACTAGAGGCAAGTTTCCACTCATCAGTTTTTCTATGGGAATGGGAAAGGAAAGGAAAAAATAATCACACTAGCATGCGTAATAAAAGTTTTTATTTGTCCAAAGGAAAACTGTGCATGCTCACATGATTATTTTTCCATTCCCTTTCCTGTTCCCGTAGAAAAATGGATGAATAAAAACTCAGCTTTATAAAGATGAAAATTTTACAGCTAGAGCATTTTTTTTTCAGAAACTTGAGTTTCAGAAATTCTTTTTTTTTTTTGTTTTGTTTTTCGTTTTTTAACCAACTTTTATTAATAATATTTTTATTTTTTAAACTAAAAAAAATTTAAAACTGTCAAACTTGTTACTTACAAGTTGTATATAATTATAACTCTTTATTTATTTATATACATTTTTCTTTTTTATTGCTTTTTTTTAATTCAGATTCTTATGATTAGAATAAAAGCAACACCCTTGTTGTCAACACCCTTGTTGTCAACACCCTTTTTTACCATTCCAAGTGAGTTACAATACAAATTTATAGTCATAAAATAAATAAATTGTCAATTTCAATAAATCTTAGGAATCGCGTAGCTGCTGTTTTTGTACAAGGACCAGCATGGCAATTTAAAGGATGGCCTTGGTTGTTACCAGATGGTTCTCCAACTGATATATTTACAAAAGGTATTTGCATTTAAATGTGCTGCAGGTGAATCTATTTTGTTAAAGTCTTAAATCTGTGAATCTATTTTGTGTTTGTAAGTTTAGTGTCATATATTTTGCCTAAAATTTATGTCAATTTTAGTCTTATATGATTCATTATGTTTTATTTTAATATTTTTGCAATTTTTTAGTAAAAGCATTTTATGTCAAATATGATGATATGAAAGTAGATCCAAATGTATCCAAATGGGATGTCCAAATACTAACAGTAAATACTTTAGATTTAAAATAGTTTTTATCAAAAAGGAAATTAATATAACATCTGGTAGTAATGGGTTGGAAATTTTAAATTCTGGCCAGAACTATATTCATTTAATTTTTAACCAGAGTTATATTTTATAATTTTTAATCTATTTCATTAATTTGATTCTTGTTTCATTTAAATCTGTTGTTTTTATTTGTTTCTTATAATTTTATTTATAGAAAGTATTAACCTGCAAAATATTTATATTTTCAATAATTATTTGTATCAAGTTGTGTTAATCTACTCATTGTTAAAAAGTCTATGCATCTATTTGTCAGGGGAGATAAACAACATGTATATAATCTTTAATACCTGTATCCAGATCTGCAGATCTGGATACAGGTATTATGAAATGTACAAAAAAATTTTTAGCAATGATTTTAATATTTTGTTTGGATAATCAAGAATAGACACCTGTTCAAAATGTGATGAATCAATAGTAAGCATTAAAAAAGCTTCTAAAGAGCTTACCAATAATCCTGACAATGAACAACTTAATTAGGCTCTCCAAAAACTCCAATTAGAACTTGCCAAATTTAACTACAAATAGCTTTTGCTACAAAAGAAAATTATCTTTTTTATTTTTTAATATCTGCTTGCTCTTAAGCAATGAGGTTTTCATCAATGTATAAGATAAAACTATTGCTAAGAAAGGTGCAGATGAGGTAACCTCTATTCTTTTTCATTTTATACTAAATTATGTTAATAAAAATATCTTGCAAGTTAAGAAACTTGCAAGTATTTTGTGATTCATTTGATAAAATAAAAACTACACAATGATTCATTTTTTGGATTTCTTAGTTAATCAGAGGAAAAGGTTTGATTTAATCAAGATATCGTTTCCCAAAAGAGGCCATATATCTTGAATGTGATAAAGATATAGGTTTTGTTAGTTGCTATGGACATTAGGGGGCATCACAAAACAACAATTTAAAAATTTTGATTTTGATTTTGTCAATCCTAATTGTGTTGTGTATATTAAAAAAAACACTAGATTTGAAATATTTTGGTAAAAAAAATATTTTTAGAGGTCCCACAACACCTTTGAATATTTAATGGGTCCCTAATATTTTCAGAAAAATAGTTTTTTTAAAGTAGGTCATGTTTGGTCTTTAATGAAGCGAAATTTTATAAAAATTTTAAAATAATAAGTATTTTATGAAAAAAAAATGTTTTTTCAGATTTTTCTGCCAAAGATATGGCAAATAAGAAAAAAGTGTAAATGTTTTTGTTATTTTTGCAAAAAAATCTAAAGTAATGTTATTTTCATAAAATGATGATTATTTTAAAAATTCTTATAAAATTTTGCTTCATTTAAGACCAAACATGACCTACTTTAAAAAAACTATTTTTCTGAAAATATTAGGGACCCATTCAAGGGTGTTGTGGGACCTCTAAAAATATTTTTTTTATCAAAATATTTGAAATCCAGTGTTTTTTAATATTTAGAACGCAATAAAGTGTCAGACAAAATCCAAATTTTTAAATTGTTATTTTGAGATGCACCCTAATGAACATGCTAGCACACCTTCAGACTGGCATTAGGTATTCAGGACTGCTAGAAAAAAACTTTCTACAATGTCATTGAGTCAAAGTAAAATATGGTGAAAAATATAAGTTTTTAAAACCTGTGTATAAAGCTGCATGTCCTGCGCATATGAGACCTTATAAAGAAGTTATATCCTTAAGCAAAATACCTGGAGATAGAGACTTGTGAATTAAACTTATTCTTAATACCACTATTTTGTCCAACCCTAGGCATTAAAATAAAATTGTTAGTATTATTGAGCCTGTAAGGCTATATCAAAAAATATATTTATCGCAAAGAATTACATCAAGAAATTTACTTCAGCGAGTTTTATGACAGTTTCGAACATGATGAAAGTAATGATGATCTACTAGATTAAATAAAATATAAGAACTGCTTTCTTTAAATAAAATTTCTTTAACCAAAACATGATCTCATATAGTGCAAAAGTTATTAAATTGTGTTTTTTTTTTTGCATTTTCCATTTGCTTTATTTATGTATTTTTGTTCTTTTGTTTGTGTGAATGTTATTGACTTTATCCAGCTATGATGTGTATTAATTGAGGTAAAGTAGAGAATTTATTAATT